CACGGGGTCTAAATGCGCTTCGCCTGGCCGAAAAAACGCATCTAGCCGTCATTGTTGCCAAAACCATGGTCCGGGGCCAACTCCGGAAACAAGCGTAGGAACGGAAGGAGCATGATGTGTAGATGCGTTTTGCCAGGCCCAAAAACTTCCGGGCGAGTTACCACTACCACTACCACTACTACACTACTACTACTACTACTACTACTACTACTACTACTACTACTACTACTACTACTACTACTACTACTACTACTACTACTACTACTACTACTACTACTACTACTACTACTACTACTACTACTACTACTACTACTACTACTACTACTACTACTACTACTACTACTACTACTACTACTACTACTACTACTACTACTACTACTACTACTACTACTACTACTACTACTACTACTACTACTACTACTACTACTACTACTACTACTACTACTACTGGACTACTACTACTACTACTACTACTACTACTACCGCTACACGACTGCCAGCCACGAGGTCTAGATGCGTTTTGCCGGGCCGAAAAAACGCATCTAGCTTTCAGTCTTGCCGAAAACCATGGTCCAGGGCCAACTCCGGAAACGAGCGTAGGAACGGAAGGAGCACGACGTGTAGATGCGTTTTGCCAGGCCAAAAATGCATCTGTCGTGTTTCCGGGCGTGTTACCACTACCACTACCACTACCACCACCACCACCACCACCACCACCACCACCACCACCACTACTACTACTACTACTACTACTACTACTACTATTACTACTACTACACGACTGCCAGCACGAAAACAGCACGAGGTCTAAATGCGTTTTGCCGGGCCGAAAAAACGCATCTAGCTTGCTTTCTTGCCGAAAACCATGGTCCGGGGCCAACTCCGGAAACAAGCATAGGAACGGAAGGAGCATGACGTGTAGATGCATTTTTCGGGGCCGGGAAAACGCATGTGGGAGCATACTCCTTCTAGGAGCTGCCTTGAAAATTCCCTGCTTGTCCAGATGCATTTTTCGGGGCCGGGAAAACGCATGTGGGAGCGTGCTCCTTGTAGGAGCTGCCTTGAAAATTCCCTGCTTGTCCAGATGCATTTTTCGAGGCCGGGAAAACGCATGTGGGAGCGTGCTCCTTCTAGGAGCGGCCTTGAGAATCCACCACTCGTCTAGATGCATTTTTCGGGGCCGGGAAAACGCATCTGGGAGCATGCTCCTTCTAGGAGCTGCCTCGAGAGCCCACCGCTTGTCCAAATGCATTTTTCGGAGCCGGGAAAACGCATCTGGGAGCATGCTCCTTCTAGGAGCTGCCTTGAGAATCCACCGCTTGTCCAAATGCACTTTTCGGAGCCGGGAAAACGCATCTGGGAGCATGCTGCTTCTAGGAGCTGCCTCCAGACCCACCGCTTGTCCAAAGCATTTTTCGGAGCCGGGAAAACGCATCTGGACATGCTCCTTCTAGGAGCTGCCTTGAGAATCCCACCGCTTCTAGATGCATTTTTCGGAGCCGGAAAACGCATCTGGGAGCATGCTCCTTCTAGGAGCTGCCTTGAGAACCACCGCTCGTCTAGATGCATTTTTCGGGGCCGGGAAAACGCATCTGGGAGCATGCTCCTTCTAGGAGCTGCCTTGAGAATCCACCGCTCGTCTAGATGCATTTTTCGGAGCCGGGAAAACGCATCTGGGAGCATGCTCCTTCTAGGAGCTGCCTTGAGAACCCACCGCTCGTCTAGATGCATTTTTCGGGGCCGGGAAAACGCATCTGGGAGCATGCTCCTTCTAGGAGCTGCCTTGAGAATCCACCGCTCGTCTAGATGCATTTTTCGGAGCCGGGAAAACGCATCTGGGAGCATGCTCCTTCTAGGAGCTGCCTTGACAATCCACCGCTCGTCTAGATGCATTTTTCGGGGCCGGGAAAACGCATCTGGGAGCATGCTCCTTCTAGGAGCTGCCTTGAAAATCCACCGCTTGTCCAGATGCATTTTTCGGGGCCGGGAAAACGCATCTGGGAGGTGCTCCTTCTAGGAGCTGCCTTGACAATCCACCGCTCGTCTAGATGCATTTTTCCGAGCCGGGAAAACGCATCTGGGATCTAGGAGCTGCCTCGAGAACCCACCGCTTGTCCAAATGCATTTTTCGGAGCCGGGAAAACGCATCTGGAGCATGCTCCTTCTAGGAGCTGCCTTGAGAATCCACCGCTCGTCTAGATGCATTTTTCGGGGCCGGGAAAACGCATCTGGGAGCATGCTCCTTCTAGGAGCTGCCTTGAGAATCCACCACTCGTCTAGATGCATTTTTCGGGGCCGGGAAAACGCATCTGGAACCATGCTCCTTCTAGGAGCTGCCTTGAGAATCCACCGCTCGTCTAGAAGCATTTTTCGGAGCCGGGAAAACGCATCTGGGAGCGTGCTCCTTCTAGGAGCTGCCCTGACAATCCACCGCTCGTCTAGATGCATTTTTCCGAGCCGGGAAAACGCATCTGGGATCTAGGAGCTGCCTCGAGAACCCACCGCTTGTCCAAATGCATTTTTCGGAGCCGGGAAAACGCATCGGAGCATGCTCCTTCTAGGAGCTGCCTTGAGAATCCACCGCTCGTCTAGATGCATTTTTCGGGGCCGGGAAAACGCCTCTGGGAGCATGCTCCTTCTAGGAGCTGCCTTGAGAATCCACCACTCGTCCAGATGCATTTTTCGGGGCCGGGAAAACGCATCTGGGACCATGCTCCTTCTAGGAGCTGCCTTGAGAATCCACCGCTCGTCTAGAAGCATTTTTCGCAGCCGGGAAAATGCATCTGGGAGCATGCTCCTTCTAGGAGCTGCCTTGACAATCCACCGCTCGTCTAGATGCATTTTTCGGGGCCGGGAAAACGCATCTGGGAGCATGCTCCTTCTAGGAGCTGCCTTGAGAATCGAATCCACCGCTCGTCTAGATGCATTTTTCTGGGCCGGGAAAACGCATCTGGGAGCATGCCCCTTCTAGGAGCTGCCTCGAGAACCCACGGATTGTCCAAATGCATTTTTCGGAGCCGGGAAAACGCATCTGGGAGCATGCTCCTTCTAGGAGCTGCCTTGAGAACCCGCCGCTCGTCTAGATGCATTTTTCGGGGGCGGGAAAACGCATCTGGGAGCATGCTCCTTCTAGGAGCTGCCTTGAGAATCCACCGCTCGTCTAGATGCATTTTTCGGGGCCGGGAAAACGCATCTGGGAGCATGCTCCTTCTAGGAGCTGCCTTGAGAATCCACCGCTCGTCTAGATGCAGTTTTCGGGGCCGGGAAAACGAGCATGCTCCTTCTAGGACCTGCCTTGACCATCCACCGCTCGTCCAGATGCATTTTTCGGGGCCGGGAAAACGCATCTGGGAGCGGAGAATCCACCGCTCGTCTAGATGCATTTTTCGGAGCCGGGAAAATGCATCTGGAACCATGCTTCTTCTAGGAGCTGCCTTGAGAATCCACCGCTCGTCTAGATGCATTTTTCCGAGCCGGGAAAACGCATCTGGGAGCATGCTCCTTCTAGGAGCTGACTCGAGAACCCACGGATTGTCCAAATGCATTTTTCGGAGCCGGGAAAACGCATCTGGGCATGCTCCTTCTAGGAGCTGCCTTGAGAATCCACCGCTCGTCTAGATGCATTTTTCGGGGCCGGGAAAACGCATCTGGGAGCATGCTCCTTCTAGGAGCTGCCTTGACAATCCACCGCTCGTCTAGATGCATTTTTCGGAGCCGGGAAAACGCATCTGGGAGCATGCTCCTTCTAGGAGCTGCCTTGAGAATCCACCGCTCGTCTAGATGCAGTTTTCGGAGCCGGGAAAACGCATCTGGAAGCATGCTCCTTCTAGGAGCTGCCTTGAGAATCGAATGCACTGCTCGTCTAGATGCATTTTTCTGAGCCGGGAAAACGCATCTGGGAGCATGCTCCTTCTAGGAGCTGCCTCGAGAACCCACGGATTGTCCAAATGCATTTTTCGGAGCCGGGAAAACGCATCTGGGAGCATGCTCCTTCTAGGAGCTGCCTTGAGACTCCACCGCTCGTCTAGATACATTTTTCGGAGCCGGGAAAACGCATCTGGGAGCACGCTGTTTCTGGAGACTTCCATCATTTGTGCCCCCGGAGCCTTGCAAGCTGGTCGAATCGGATCGGTCGAATCGCTTCGGCCCTAGTCGAATCGAAAAATCAAATCGAGCCGAATCGCATCGGCCATCCATGCTTTAGAACCTAGTTTGATTCAGGTTACCTCAAGTAATGCCAGAAGAATAGAAATCGTCCAAGGGAATTGTTCCAACCCCCCACACCCCCTGAAGCTTCCTGCTGAACAGCCAGTAGAAGCTGGTCAGCTTCCCCTCAAAGACTTGATTTGGAGCGATTGAATCCGGCCATCCGGGGTCAACTTCCCAAAGCTGCAATTTGCGGTACGGAAGCCACGCAGAAAACTGAAACACAAGAATCGCCGTCGTCTGCAATGATCTGGGTTGACATAGTTCGGTGTGTGGTCCCAACCTCCTTTGTACGGCCATCACTACAATTTGCAAAGAAAGATGCAGATGCGGGCCGGTACCTAGACATAAGCAAATTCTAGAACTTGCAGCAAGGACCAGAGTACAAAGGAAGCAAACACACAAGCTGGGCGCAAACCAATTTGGCAAGGATGGTCATGCATGCATGTCCACACAGGCTTGCCTGCACGCGCACGTTTGCGAAATGCATGAGAAGAGAGAGACAACAGCTTCCTTCGGGATCGGCCATCTCAAACCCAAAGATGCCCGGTGAAATCAGCTGCCCAACTCAGAACGCACAAAATACAAGCCTTGGTACTTCAAGGATGAGGTCTTCTTGTATCTTCAAGATCAAGAGGGAGTGACATTGTCAGCTATGCATGGACATGGCTAGCGCCCATGTTCTAGACGGAGACCGCAAAGCCTCTCAGGGCCTTGTTTGAGTTTACTTCTGATCAAAAACCAACGAATCCTCCAGGCCCCTCCACTCAGCGACTATTCATCCACCCGCGCGCCTCGCGAGCGGTTGGTGGCCCAGCCCCAGTTCTCACGAGCGTGCACGAGGGTCACGGTACCTTCTTCCAGCCTGAGCCGTGAGGTCGCAACATCCGGCAATCAAGCGGGCACCCTTTTTTGGGTTGCTTCGACCATGGGCCATTTGAAAGAAACACCTGCCGGTCCTTGCTCGAGGAACGCGGTCGTCCCGCGGGCCCCTTGCAGCTTCCATGTTTGTTTTTGTGAGGCTTAAACCAATACTGGCTTAATCATGTCGACAAAGGTGGTTGGCTGAAGCCTGTCCTGTGTGAGTGTCAGCGGTTTCCCGCTGCCAGTCTCTGGAACACCCGTGCCAAGCGATTGCCACCATGGCTCTTGCGAGGACAGCGGATTCCTTGTCTACGGTTGCCCACACGGACCCTCCCGGCCGGCGCTTCGGCCAAGCTGTGCTTTGGCCAAGCAGCAGGGGAACCCCCATGGTCTCATGCATGGCCGCCTGGTGCTTGGCAAGAACCTGACCGGGGCACCCAGAAAAATTGCTTGGCACTTCCTGGCAGAGAACAAAACAACCACCAGCCCAAACCTCCGGCGAGCCTCAACTAATTCGATCCAAACCAATAACGACCAACAGCAGTAGCAATAAACATATTCCCATGTGTGTGAATGAACGACGAAGCAACAGAGCAAACTACGACACAAACACACATTCATTAAACACTATTCGCAACCATAACAAGCTCACATTCTTACGTTTTCTCATGCAAAACAACATCCTGGGCACAACAACAGAACAAACATCTGCAACCAGTCCTCCTCCCACCCAGCCGCCTGCAGCGCTTCAGCGGCATCCGCCTCCGCCGCCACGTGGGTACAGGTGCGGCCCCAGAGGTCCACCGCGTCCAAGCCTTTTGGCCCCAACTCGCAGAGCTGGACCACCACCTGACGCTCGGCGGTTCTGAAATTGCATTCCCAGGTGGACGCACATGCACATGTATTTTCATCTTTAGATATACGCTTTACATTTGTATGTGTAGGATTGCATATGCGAATGTCTATGAACACATATGTATATATATATATAATCTCCAGACGCATTGTCATGAGGATTATGGTTGTTGCTAGTAACTCATAAGTATTGTCATTACGGTACTGTCATAATCATGATTGCCGTATGTTCCTTGCCAGTGGCATTACCATGACTGCCGCCTAACAATACAAGCTTTGGCTCTTGTTCCGCGCTTGGCTGTTTTGATTTGATAGGTTTTTGTATCGAAGCTTCGGCTCTCCAGCGCCAACGAAAGCCCCAGCACATCGCCTCGAGGCAGGGCCCACTGCCCGCGTTCGACGCGTGGTGTGCCGCCGTCCAGCCGTTCACGTCAGCGGCCTCGCGCGCACCCGGGGTCCGGGAGGTTCCAGGCAGGGACGAGGTGAGAAGAAATGACCCCCTTATGGAATTATTATCCACTCCCTAGAGGGGCAAAAGAAGGTAACATCAGCGTCTGGACCTCTGTCCTACAAGGAGCTTGCACGTGGCGTCTCTACACCTCTGTTGTTGTCTTCCACATATTCCCCGGCCCGGGTGCACTGGGCTATGTTGTGGTAAGCCCAAAATGCCGGGAGGAAATGGCCGACAAGCAAGCCCGAACTCAAAGTGGCAGTGTGTCCGCCCCAGGGCTTCCCATTCCAGGACCTGCGTTGGGAAGAAAAGGCGCGGGGGGAGAAACGCCCACTGAAGGTCTGGGTGCGTTTGGTTAGGCGCCCGGCCATCTTGTCCTCCTCGCTGAAGTTCCCCAGCGTGAGAATGGCGACCACTGCCTCCGGCCAAGCGCACAAGATTCCCGCAAAGCAGACTCAGCTGACCCTGAAAAAAAAAACAAAAACAATTATTGATTGTGCTTTGGGACCTTGAGAAAGAAACTTGACCAGCAGTTGTCCAAGTTTGCCGCGTGCCCCCCTTGAGTCAGGATTCTTCACGTTTGGGGGTGGCCACCCTGAAGGTGGGCCGAGACCTTCAAGGCGGCCCTGGGCCACAGCTTGGAACGAATCCCCCGAATTCAGCGGAAAGAGAATTCCCAAAGTAGAATCCGCCGTGAAACTCCAATCGTATAACACCCCTCTTTGTAACTTGCTGTCATTTTCACGGCAATGGCTCAGGTCAAAGACGACCCCACTGCGCACGACTGCATTCCGGGTGTTAGACACACACACACACACCTCTCTTTCTTTCTTTCTTTCTTTCTTTCTTTCTTTCTTTCTTTCTTTTCTTCCTTCCTTCCTTCCTTCCTTCCTTCCTTCTTTCTTTCTTTCTTTCTTTCTTTCTCTCTCTCCTTTTCCTCTCTCTCGCTTTCCCTCTCTCTATCTATCTCACCCCCAAACCCCACCAACTCCTCACTCTCTCTTTCCCCGTATGTACCATCACCAGGTCCGCTAGCCTCTTCTACTCAAATCTGCAAGATCCAAGAAATTCCAAAACCACCCCAAGTGACGGGCGAGCTCGCCACAAACTCCGAAGCTCCGCCTCAGGCACCCCGGTGGCGGCGGCGCGGTGCAGGCAGCTGCAGCCCTGGGCGTCCCGCTTCACCAGGTCCGAGGCCGTCAGAATGCCTACGCCACGCCCAAAATTGCGTCGCGGCGCGAGGGGTCATGAAGTACTTGGGCCTGTCTTTGGAGAGACACCCCAGAAATCCCCCCCTGTTCAAAAAGGATGTTGGCAGAGGGACACCAAACAAGGCACACCGCGGGAGCTCACCCCATAAACCAATGACCCATGCGAAGTTTGAGGGCCGGACCCCTTTTGAAGGCGCTAAAAGCCTTCGCCCCATTTTGCCGGATTCCGAGGCGAAGGCTCCGCGCCTTTCTGTAGGAACTTCTCCACGGCGGCAAAGGCGCCCTGCTGCACCAGCACGCCCGCCGGCAGGGCACCCCGGCCTAAGATGGATCCCCAACCTAGGGTTGTCCTACCTCAAAACGGGGTTCGACATGTTGATCTCCCTTTACCGCGGGGGAGGCTAGCAATATGCCAGGTGGCATCCCTAACAAGGCCGCCGCGCAACTTTCCAGAACCCTTCCGGAAGCCTAGCCGCTCCGAACCACTCCAGAACCTGTCTGGGTCAGTCCATAGCTTTCAGCTGTTGGGAAAAAGGGCGCCCTAACCCAGCTCCAAATTCACACAGGCCGCCTGACCCTGCATCACTTGCCCGTGCCTAACAATGCAAGCAAATTGGTAATTTTCAGCCTTATAGCGACTTACTTGTCAATCCTAGTCCTTGTTTGATACAACTCTAACATGCGTACACAGATGTGCATGTTCAAATAATTATGCCCTAAGCCAACCCTAAAGAACCCTGACAAATCCATAGCCGACGCTAAACCAACCTTAAAGACACCCTAAGCCCACCACAAAGGAAAGCGAAACCCAACGTAAACGCACTTTGAACAAACCTATGGCAAGCCTAATCCCACCGGACACCCAATCTGAACAAGGCCGACCCCTGCCCCAAGCATTCTTAGGGGAAGTTCCGATCTGGTTCCTCAAAACCTACAATATATAAATAGATATATTATATATATGGTACCCCCCTAGAATACTCAATTGTTGGGCCAGAAATTGACATTTTGGCTGTAAACAATGCATGCAAAACACACGTTCCAGCTTCAAGAATGAGGCTCTACAAATGCACTCGGTTGCTAGGCTTAAATTCTAGCATCGGTACTCAGTGCAATCCAGGGTGTGTTAGCACGTGCTAGCACATCCTGGATTGAAGATTGGAAATTATCTGACAACTAAGGAGGGTTGAAGATTTCCAGAACAAGTGGTAAGTACATATTTGAAGCATTCCGGAAAATGTCCGAGAATCTTCAATCTTCCATCCAGACCCTGGATTGCCCTAAGTGCGGACTTGAAGAATCCAAAAGACAGACCGCGAGTGCACGTTGTCAGAATCAAATTGTGGATGCGCACTCGCATTGCCTGCATTTGGGCAGGGGGGAAAATGTTGCTGACACATTGACACCTTTACACTTGAGGGCTGGCCAGGATGAAAGATTCTCAAATACAAAATCTGGTAGATCTTCAATCTTCAATGCAGGCGGCAAATCCTTAATGAGTCTAGAACTGTCAAGCTTTTGGGGGGCCAGGATTGAGGATGTTCTAAACATATGCTTGCTGAATCTTGTATATTCGATCTTCGATCCAGGGCAACGCGATCTGAGCAAATGCTGAAAAACACCGCGCTTTACAGCATTTCTGCCAAGAGTATGATCTATGTTTGAAAACACTTTTCTGTCATTGGCTTTGCTCAGTTCTTGCTTGGTTCAAACCACATGGAGTTCGATAAGGACAGTAATCCTTTCCAAATTGAGTTTGATTCCAAGTTCATTTGGCCATGGCAATAGCTATCTTCTCCCATTAATTTTTAAAATGCACAAGAAACTGCAAACGATTCAATTTGAATTTGGTTTGATCTCGAAAGCGTTTTAAACTGGCTATCCTTCCTTTACTTGAATTTCCATAGTTGCTATTGGCGATGATTGAATCAAATTAGACAAGCAACACACAACTGTGATAGTTACTTTGCAAAATATGTTTCAAATAGCCTGAACTAGCATGTACATGGAATTATGCACAACACTTGGGTTAACATGTAAATGCAACTGCGCAAGGACATGAAGTAGGAATGAGTTCCTTTTCCCGAAGTTGATGATTTGCTGAATTTCTCTGCCAAACAAAAAACTAAAAACCAATCAATAGAGCTGCTACAGGCGGGTTGAAGCTGCCAAAGCATACTTCGCGCACTTCTCTAGTGCTGAAAAGTTGGGCTTTTTGAGCTGGAGCTGCCAAAGTGCACTTTGCATACTCCTGTGACGGTCACACAACTCCTATTCAACGTTGAGCTTAACTTCTGCTTGGTTGGAATTTGCATGGAGTTGCGCGTCCAGTCAGTTCATTTCAGAGTCTGAAAGCATTTGTCACCCCCAGTTTGGCCCAAAAACCTCAGTTCTGGCCAAAACCCTGAGTATTCTAAGGGGGGCAGCATATCTATGTACGCAGCCAATATACGGGACATGCTTATTCCAGCACAAGCACACGCGGCACTCACCACTAGTCCCGGCGCAATCCTGCGTTTTGGAGAAGGGTGGCATCCTATCTATGCAGTAAAGTGCAAGTTGCACCCCTTTCCAAAAGGAAAGTCGTCTTCCAAAAGGGGCAAGTGAGCACTTGCAAGGTTTCTTCTAGGGGTACCTTCCCCATTCCTTCCAGGGCTCCTTCTTTCAGGAAAGAGCGATGGTTGAAAAGAATGGAACCGGAATCCACCAGTAGATTTCTTGGCTCTATCCTCCCGTTGCTCACGTGGTTCGTCTGGCCATGGCGCGGGCTTGGTTCATCAGCTCTTCCTTCGCGACGCCGCTGATGGTGGCGATGGGACCCCAGGCGTTGCCCAGGAACTCGGAGGCCTCTGGAAACAACTGGACAGTACGCCCGTTTTCCCAGAAGGGCATGGGAAAACTGGGGTGTCCCACTGGTCTTTCTGGGAGTGGGGAATTTGTTCTGCGCCAGTTCCTACCCAAACCAACAGTGGACTTCTGGTATTCTTGTCAGCTTCTCATAGTATGGTTCAACTAATTAAACTAAGACACAACCTATCCATTGTGATGTTGGTGTCCTTGAAGCCAGAACGAGTGAGGGTCTTCTGTTTTGATTCACTGTCCTGATGCGGGAATTGAGCAGGCTCTCTATTTGTTGGTTAGTTTGCCGCATATCCACCACAGTCGAGGGTAAGCAAGCCGGAGCCACGGCAAAGTTGGATATGGCTCGCTAAATGGGGACCTGAGAGAAGGGAGGCGCAGAATATCTTTGAAATGCAGCCCACCAAAAAGACAGCTCGGAAAAAAACTAGTCCAACTGGTGCTTTCAAGAGTCATTCAAAGGAAAAATATAAAGCTCACTTTCTGCAATGGTAGATCAAATCCGGACCGAACAGTGGACCATTCGCATTGGCAGGAGACTTGAGCGTCCTGCCAAATGGCAAGGAGGACAATCGGCCGCACGCAGGTGCCCAGCCCTAGGAAAGCAACCGAAACGGGTGACAGGAGAACAAGCCGCCAGCGTGTCTTTCTCAAGGAAGAAGAACACGCGCATGGAATCTTTCGGAGATGTTGCACCAGGCTTTTACAGATATCGATCACAAACAGCACGGGCATCGATGCATTGGTCCATTGGTGGGGAAAACGCCCTTTGATACAAATCAAACGATGAGGTGTATGTGACTGCAAAGCACGCAGCCAAGCGCAGAGTCATGCTGAGGGCTGATAGAATCGTATTCCATTGACTGTGCAAACTCTTGTGGAGCACGCAGGCTTTCTGCCAATATCTGCCAATATCAGTTTCCGCTCCGCAAGCATCTGAAGCTGACTCCTACCGCTGCTTGCTTCGATGTGTACTGGCAGCACTGGTATCAGCAGCTGCTTAGTGGAGCCTCCCTGTCCGCGTCAAGTTTCGCCTTGCAGTGCTTGTGTCATTCCCCAAAGCTGGGGGGGCAAGACTCACATCTAAACAATCATGTTCATGTCGGACGTAAAACTATATCGGCGCACTGCACTATGGTGTATATATATATATATGTTTATACAATGTATTGCATTTGCGCCTGTAGAAGAACCTTTTGGGCATCAAGCCAAACATTCACATTCAGCACGGACTCTGGGTCTCGGAATGCCCAATGAATCCCTGAAATTATATCTGACTCATGGTGCTGGTACGCGGAGTACTTAAGCATCCCGGCTAACATCCGACTTTTGAAGCTTCAGTACGTCTCCTAAGCCGCCCCACCTCGCCGTTCGCCGGTCGCTCGCTTCCCCACGGATCAGTCCGTCCCCACTGACTCCCAAAATGCTCATTTTAAGATTCATTGCGTTTGGACCGCTTGGCCAGTCTGCAAGTCAATCATGTTTTGAAGTACTCCCCCCCCGCCCCCCCCGGCAGCTTCGGATGATGCGACTTTAGACGAAGCAGCCCTACAATGATCTTCAACAACCTGGTCAATGGTGCTCCCAACAAAAATATGGGAATGAATCAAACACGGGAAATCCCTGAGTCCTCTTAACATGGGATTGAACACGGACAACGCTTCGTTTCAGAACCTTGACTCAAGAGGTTCTCCACAAAGAAAGAAATACCTGGTCAATCTCCAAGTCAATTAATCAGGAACTTGTAAGCCGATCAACCTCACTGCCAGATGGAGTGCAACTTAAGCAGATTAAATGGGTTGAACATGGAACAGCCCTATGTTTGAACCCCAGGGTGAAGAAAGGGTCGAGATTTAATTTGGGAATTGTTTTTGTTTTATTTTGGGATTTTTTGTTGTTTTCCGTCCTGGCTAGTAAAATGCTGCATTTTTACAGCATTTCTCACGACATGTACGTATTTTACGCGAGTCCGTCAACATCATCAGCATCGTTTTTAACATCCCCCGCATGTCCAGCCAACATCCCCAGCATCACCAGCAAATCGAGCTTGGCTTCCTACATCTTCAGCATCATCAGTTCCTCTACAGCAAGGTAGGTAGGCATTTATGTATGCATGTTGAAAGGAGGGGCGGGTCCCCCTCATGATGGTAAAAGTGAGGATTCAAATATGGGTGCAATCCGTGTAAAACACATAAAACGTAGCGGGGGGTTTGGGACGCCCCCCCCATGATGATTAAAAGAATGATGATTCAATTAAAGGAGCGGGGGGGCGGCAGCCCCGCAGATGATCGAAAAAGTGATGATTCAATTAGGACCAAAAAGTCTAAAAAGCAGTGGGGGGTTGGGGGGGCCCATGATGATTGAAAGAGTGATGATTCAATCAAAGGAGCGGGGGGGTTGGGGGGGCAGCAGCCCCCCCCCTGATGATCGAAAAAGTGATGATTCAATTAGGGCCAAAAAGTCTAAAAAGCAGCGGGGGGGTTGGGGGTGGGGGGGGCGGCAGCCCCAACCATGATGATCGAAAAAGTGATGATTCAATTAGGGGCAAAGAATCTATTAAGTAGCTGTCGCATGATGATCATGCATTTTAATCGAAAGGGGGGTGGCGGGGGGCACCAGAGAGGAACTGGCGATGCTGAGGATGCTGGAAGCCAAGGCCAACAAACTGGGAAAGCAGAGGATGCGAAAAGCCAAAGCCAGAAAGCCACCAAAAGCCACAAAGCCAAAAAGCCACCTGCCGCAGCGAAACTGGCAATGCAGAGGATGCGAAAAGCCAAAGCCGCAAAAGCCGCATGAACCCACAAAGACAAACAGAGAGGAAGTGTGAATGCAGAGGATGCGAAATCAAAAGCCACAAACACCCACGTAAAAGCCACAAAAGACAAGAAGCCGAAAGCCACCCACCCTGAAAAACAAAAAAAAAAACATCCATAAAAAGACGGAAAAAAAGGAGAACACAAACCTTTAAAACAAATGGTCCTCCGTGAAGAAACACCCCAAAGGGCGCGCCTTCAAAAACGCCTTGTCATCAACCCAGTAAAATCCAAGCTGTCATCTCAAGTGTTGGAACTGGCGCAGAGCAAGCCACAGTTCACAGCTCATGTCGGCTTCTCTTTGTTCAAGGGCCTATGGATATCTGTGGCAACTGGGTGTGTCTTTCTCCCTTGTTCTTGCCGTTTTAAAGCCAAGCCAGGACAACCCAAGCCACTGTTTCTTTCGTTTTATTCATTTCGGAGTGAGGGGGGGGCCCTGAAAAAAGGACCCAGCCATGGGAAGAAAGGAACACCCTTTTTTGTTGGTTGAGTTTAAAGGGGAACCCTTACCCAAAAAAAGCAAAAAAGGGCACCACTGGGCAACAGAGTTTCTTGAAACTGATGCCATCCCTCGCCTTCTTGCGGCCCAACTTCTCCGCCAGCACCAGCGGAGTGGGTGCAAGCTCGCAGCGCTCCAGCTCCACAGCCTCCGCGGGCTGCATTCTGACAGCAGGTCTATGGTCCGTCCTTTCGTTAAAAAGAGTCGTGATCAAGAAACGCGAGAAAGCCTTTGCATGACGCTGGTGCTACTAATGGAGGGGTTCGAGTTGTGATTCGCGTTGTTTCACGTGGCTTGTTTTCGTGACGGAGTTTTGCTGGTATCTGCTCACCCAGTCACATGTACTTGGTTCCCACAAGACAGTCGTCTTTGGCAACGGCGATAGACTTAGACGGGGGTTGTGACAAATGGCGGTGGAAAAGGAGGTGCGGGTATAGTGGCAACAATGGTGGTGGCAATGGCGATGGCAATGGTGATGGCGATGGTGAAAAAGTCACGGTGACCATGGCGATGAAGAACATGGCCATGTGTTTGATGGTAGTGATAATGAAGGGATGAAGAATAATACCATAACAATAACGACCAGACAAATTGCAAATTATTATTTGTGATCGGAACATGGTGCTGACTGTCTTGACGACGACATGATGCTGCTGGTGATGACAGCGACAGCTGCACTCAGCTTACAGTAGCCCGTAGTCAGCTTGAGAATTCAACCTGGCATGCGGCAACAACCCTTGGTCAATGTGATGTGTCATGGTGTCTACACCAGAAGAGCTACCAAAATAATTAATGAGTCAGTACTCGCTGAGTAATGAGTCAGTACTCGCTGAGCTATGCGGCGTAAATTCTGGCGCTAGGGCATTCTTTGCTCAGTTGCATTGCCAAATGCAGGTGCCAAACCAAACGAAACTACCCAAGACCCAGGTGCCAGCACCACTTCTCAGCTTTGGCCATGGCTTTTCTTTTGAGCCCTCGCCAGCAAATGATCTGTCTCAAGCTCAGTGTTCTCAAAGGTCCAAATCAACATGCCGTTCAAAATAGGATCGCCTCCTGGTCCTTAATGCCCTTCTCGTACTCGAACCGCATCCTCTGGTGACGGTCGACGTAGTGAACCTTACTGCGCGCCCGACGCTGTGGAAATGGCTGAAGTCATCTAACTGAGCACGGGTAGTTCAGAATAAATTCGAATATGAGAAGATACCCCTTGATCAACATGCTTTACACGGGGGCACGTGGTTCCCAATTGAAATCAATATCCTGCTCTCAAAATGCACAAGCTAGCTTAAAGAAACAGCTTAAAACGCCTTGCATGCTTCTTTTTTTGGCACATTCGGTCGGGCGCAGCAACACGGATTGCTCGAGTTACTTTGTCGCTAAACATGTACTGCCAACTCTGAGGTCTGAAATGCGCGCCCTGTGCCTCTTTGGGGTCTGGATTAAACAACTTCGTTGCGGTTTCGCTGTGTCGGTCTCCCTGTTGGCTTTGGTTTCAACTAGCAGACCACCCTGTGCAGTCTTGCCATGCAGGGTACTCCCATTGAAACGACCCTGCTTTTGTTGATACTGAAGGTGTTTGGCATTTGTTCACTTTCGCGGGCTTCAGAGAGACAGAGAGAGAGAGAGAAGAACAAAAGAAACACAGTGAGAGAGAACGATAAAGAGAAAAGAAAGAACAGAAAAAGACAGATAAAGAGCAAATGAGAAACACAAAAGGACCAATAAAGAGAAAGTAAAAGCGAAAAATCGGCGAGAGAGAGAGAGAGAGATAGAGCGAGAGAGAGCGACGGAGGGAGCGAGAGAGCGAGAGAGAGAGAGAGAGAGACAGCGAGAGAGAGAGAGAGAGAGAGATAGAGACAGAGAGAAGGAGAGCGAAGCGTGCTCCAAGTATAGTTCTTGTATCCGTGAAACTTCCGCCCTCTCAGCTCTGCAGGACATTGCTGGCATTCCTAGGTGTCCCTTCGATTACAACAGAAGTGCAATCAGTGGCATCCATCTCATGACCAAAAAGGATGGCTGTGGAAGCAGGCACAATGATGGATTCCGACAGTGGGAACACCTCTCCCGAATCAAAGGCTTCGGGCTGGAATGATTGCCCCCATCTGCAACTTTGAATACACTATCCCTCCTACCTTCCATGGGAGGGGCCGCCAAGTCCATGCTCTAGTTTTTTTTCCCCGCAACAGTGAAAATGGAACCAGACATGGAATTCCAAAGGTCCCCCACCTCCAATTCCGTGGGGTGGGGGATATACCCAGGCGCCAACCCTGGGGTCCGGAAAGACGTGCCTGACTGCCCATGGCCAAGGAGCTCGCCCCATCTTGTAGCCTGCAAGTCTCTGCTCCGAACCCCAAACATCCGGCGCCGGAAGGCCCCAGGCACTCCAAATGGAAAATGGAAACAGACTCAAGCTATGTTCAAGTTGTCTGCTTGGGGTGAGCCATTCACACGCCCAAATCCAAGCCGCCTGCCTCTAAGATTTTTGGGGCGTGGCAAATTTGTGGAAGGCACAATGGTGCTGCGACTTGGCGGGTTGCCGAGTTAACCAGGGTCGGCCTGGCCAAGAGATCAACTCCTCACACACCAAGGCTGAGCGAGCCCCTGATCTCACTGTCTATCCGTCTATCCTGCAGCTTTCTCTTTTGGGGGAAGGTATACTAAGCTTCACCCTGCAGGTGCCTGTGCTAGCCAACAAAACATCCTGACAGTACAACTCCCACGTACAAAGAGCCCGCTGAGAGCTATCCTTCAGACATGCATATCCCGGATGAAGCTAAAGCGGAGGGTAGACCACTGCTAGTTTTGGCAGAGTCGTCCGGCTGAAGCTGAGGATTCTACAACTCAGAGGATCTTCGCTTCCCCAAACCCTGGACATCGGAGCATGTGACAAGATTCTGGAAACTAGACACTGGTATAACCCAGTTTCTGCTTAGGATGATCATACGCTCTTGGCATCTGATAGGGGCTGATCACTGCGGCCGAAAACCTGAGACAGTCCAACATATGAGATAAGCAACCAGTCAATCTGGTGGATCGGGTCCTTGTATGGTGACCTCGTTTAGATGGTGTCCACTCCACTGCTTTGTCAAACAATAACATGGAATCGCTCAAAACTGAAATTTATAAAAGACGGGAACAAGTGCAGCCTGGAAAAGAGAGGGTCAACTAAGAATCAGGCAGCAACGCCCGCGCCAAAAGACCGTTGTTGAACCGGGACGTGTGACTCGCGTTGGAACTCAGCGCATGTCATACCCTCTGGCCCCCGGAATCCCAGGCGGGTCGCTGTTGCCAAGGTAGGCGACGACCTGGCAATGGCACAGGCCAAGAATCCGCTGGGTCTGGGTCTTGGGAAATCGCCACAAGCTGGTGCCAAGCTTGTGAAAAGCAGTGGACGACCGTCACCTGCACATGTCACAGAATGCGTAATAGCTCCACCAGCTTGAACAAACACCAGGGGAACATGAAGCTTGCTATCATCTGCCAAACAAGACAGGGCTGTTCCTCCAACTGCAGCAACTCAATCGATTGGGCCCATACCTAGTACCACAAGCACGTGCAATAATCCACGGCTAAGCCGTCATCATACTCCATCAGTGACCTCACCTGGACCCACGTTCATCCCACATTCTCATCCCCCCGCTCACACCTCAACTCATCCCTTACCTCCTGTATCGCCTGCCGAACCTCATCTCTTAACCTGAATTCTCACCTCACTCAACCCATACCACTCCTGCCCTGGCCGTGTGCGGGGGATCTGGACTTCTTGGCCTCTGCACCCTATCTGCCCAGATCTTACTGGCCACGGGCTGCAACTCTGGCACCGTGCCACCCTCAGCCCTAAAACTGCTGTGATGATGTGCCCAAGCTGTCCTGATCGGGCCATTCTTTGATGTGCCCGTTTTGCAAAAGGCTGGTAGGGCATCCGTGGCTCTCGAGATAATGCCAGAAGGATGAGGCAAGGTTGACACACAGGCGAGCGCGGCGAGGGCTGGCTGGCACCGGTGCGCGGTCTACGCTGAACGTGACAACGGGTGTTATCAACCCGAGCCAGCAAGATGTCGACCCCATCCCGAAGTCCCACTCAACCTTAGTTGAACCTGAAAAACAGTTCTCATGCCTCCCCTGAAGGGAAATCGAAGGTAAACCCACCCAAATGGGTCATTGCCAGCACCTGGGTGGCTTCTTTACACTAGGCTTCGCCTGGCTTCCCTTCGGCTTCCCCAGGGGATTTGCAGATCATCCCCCCGGTGCGATTTGCCTCGCTGCTTTGGTTCACGATAGCCACCGCCCCGATCTGCGGCTCCGAAGGGCCCATGGGCAAATGCAGAGGCGCGCCCAACTCCTCGCAAGGGCTTTTGGGGCGGTGGAACAAACACGCACCCTTTTACCGCTGGTTGCCCAAAAAATAGCGAAAGGGTGCCACTAAAAAACTGGGGCACAGTTTCACGGAGCCCACCGCACCATTTCAGCTTATGAAGGTTTCCTCAACCAGAACAAAAGATTGGGTAGGCTCCGTTTTGTGGGACATTCCCCCTCCATTTTCTCCTCGACTTAACGATAGACCAGACATTTTGTCAGCTCATTTGTGTGTGTGGTAAGCTTTTGATGGTGCACTTTTCACGGCTGTTTCCGAGAAGCCAAACACCCATGGCTGAAATGCCGTTTGGGAAGCCCAAAGGAACCGGCCAGTCGGAAAACCAGTCATTTGCACCGACACACAAACGCTGAACATGAACACTAGGGGGGATCGAACAAAAACGTGGGTATCCAAGAATCTCAGCCGTCCCAAACCATCAGGAAAAAAACGCCCAACACCTAGGGGCCCCCTGCACGACTTGTGTTCACTATTGATGTCCTTAAACATCACCAAGAACCGTGTCTGTGATTTGCTTTGGGATCATGTGGTGACTGCGATCCGCCAAGCGCGGTGTGCTGTTCTTGTTTGCCTAGCGCGGCGCAACAAAACAGGCCAAGAAAAACCGTGAAGCTCAAACGAGCCCATGACCGGATGTACACAGAACCGCCCTACTCCCTTTCAGTTTCGGGAACCGGTACCTGACGCTGTCCCTAACGTCTCTAAGACACTGCGCCTGCAAGAGGGCCAGCACCTCGGGCCTTGGCCATGGCACATGACCATCATGCCATTTGAAAGGGAGCTTCGGCCATGGCACATTTACGTGTGATGGTCCTTCACCAACATATGAGGTACCAATAGTGGTCTGCACTCGCTGTTACACAAAGGAGGGCGAAAAACCGACAAAGGCCAATCTTCATGAAGTGCTCCTCAAAGTCGGCCACCAACCAAAAAAAGGGGTCTTTCACAACGATGTCCTCTGGGGTATGCCATTTTGGCTGCCAAGGGCATGCCGAATCATGGGTTTGCACGACTTTCTCGGGTGGATTCTGTACGCCAAACCAACCCATGCAAAAGGAGACCAGAACAAGCAGAAGCGACTAGCTCTCACAAGCAGTGCAGGACAAACGCCGCTTACTTTTGGTGCACTGCGTCAGCAGCCGCATTGACCAAGCCAAGAGGGCATCAAGCTGCCTACCTCACTCGTGCGCTGACCATTCAGCACTCTGGACAGCTCTTGTAACAGATCAAGGGATCAGCTTGGCCGACGGAGGGCTGGCAGAATCTGGTGCATTAGGATGCACCGAGCATAACAACTAAAACTGAGAACCATGGCACAAGCTGGAAAAAGCGGGATCATGTTGCACGAAAGGTCAATCAAACAGTGGCTCTCCATTGGGAATCAGTGAAACGAGCGATTTTAATCCGTCGTCTGCAAGATACAGAGTGCTTGAATGCCAGCACAAATTGACAAAGGGTCACCATGGTGAGCAATCAATTGAAAGGCCCTGCAGCCGGCGATCCATTGGGGCGAAGGACAGATCGGCGCAAACTATTTTAATAATTATCAGCCACACCCCTGCCATATGTTTGTGCTTCGTTTCTGGCGTGGTGTCGACCTGTCGACCTGAACGTTTTAGACCTCGCACGAGGCTATGTTATAATTCTTGACCAGCTTTCACCAACCCGGATAGCGAGAGAACCCAAACAGAAGCCCGGACAGCCAAGCGAGAGGACCCAGAGGTACATTGCATGTCCAAACATTCCAAGACTATTATTTGAATTCAAAAGTCGACATGCAACGCTATTCTGCTGGTAGAGGCAAGTTACGCACCCTATGTGCCTGCTTCCACAAAAAATAATGCTTCCTTGCAGAGAGAGCTGCTCTACAAAAGACAACCTCCTGTGCTCAACCGGCTGCTTTTGGCAAACCCCATCGTGGTCCCAGGCGAATCCGCCATTGCCGCATCATGGGCCGGCGTCCTGTGCCTGGCATTTGACAAGATTCAGGCCCCAGGAGAACGGCCACATGGGAACGTGGTGCAATTCCCTCGGTGTCGCTGATGAATTCCAGATAGATGAGATATTTTCGTGAAATTTGTTAAGCCGGTATGGTTTCCTGCAAAATGCAAAATAAATCAACTTGGGCAACTTGGACTCCTCCAAAATGAATGCGGCCAAAATCACTGAGCAAAATGGCTTTGGACCCCATCGGTACTTATTTGTCATGGACCCGGCAGAAGCTCGTTGAGTTTTTGGAAGGGTTGCATGAGAAGCAGGCTCGTGGAAGTTCAGAAGGCCCAAATCAAGTTTTACAGCAACCACGACAACAAGGGCCAAACAGTTGCACAAAGGGGGTTGAAGACACCCAGGCCCTGATTCAGTCTGACTGCTTCGTGATTCGCTTCAATGTTCAGCTTGTGGGGTGGGGGTTGGAATTTGAGGGAAAGGCTTGGCAATACTAAACTTAGAATTTGCAATACTATATCAAGTACTGGGAATCTGGGTAAGTCTTGGCAAGGCTCAGTTAGAGTCGGCAATACTAAATTAAGTACCAGGAGTCTGAGAGTAAGGCCTGGCAATACTAAAATTTAGAATTGGCAATACAAAATTACGTACTGGGAATCTGAGAGTAAGACTTGGCAAAACTTGGCAATACTCAATTCAGAAGTCGCAATACTAAATCAACTATTGGCTGTCGAAGTCGAACCCAGATCCACTAAAGAGGCCCCGCTGGACCGTTGGCGGGGTTGGGGGAGGGGGGCTAATAGTAAAGCAGACCCGAAATGCATCATCTGCATCCAGAGTTGATTGTGCAATTTATCACAAAGCTGGCGTCTCACGAATTCCCCGACGCTAAGCCGAAGGTTTCACCTGGGCCTGCAGTTGCCTCAGCTCAGGTTTTGCATCTGCATCGAGGACGGTTTCCAGGGTCGCTATGTCGCCCAGTTTCGCTTCTACATCTTGCGTTTGGTTCATGTTTTCTTCGCCCTTGTTTTCAGCAATGAGCTTTGGGTGTGCAAATGCGTGGTTTCCTCGGATTCCGCATAGCCCCACAGGTACCGGAACGGTCACGCACATGTCCACGCAGCACCATCCCCCCGGAAGCCATGTTGCAAAGGAGAGTTTCGGCGGCTGGCGCACCAACCTCAATATCTGCTTCATTCATATTTAGGACTACAACACAGCTACCTCTTTGCTCCCGAGCCAAACATAATTTTTGGATTCTGGTTCATCGTGCTACATCATTTCAACAAAGATCCCAGAGGTCAGCTTTCTGAGTTTCACCGCTCGAAAGCACGGTTAAACCCGGCAGCCAGGCCAGTGGTCCGTCTGCTTCAGTACCGAGAGAGGCATGCTGCACTTCTCCACCAAGTACCTGGCTTGAGGCCCCGGCCCCGTCAACGTGGTGCATCTTGAGGGTACTTTGGGTGCCAAAGACCCTGTCGCCAGGATGGAAAGCCGCCCACATTTTGCAGGGAACTCTCCCAAAAAGAGGACAAAACAACAGCCGGTGCACCGGCGGCCTTTGTTGGAAAATCGATGGGTTTCCATGAAATGGAACAAACCCCACCTAACCCTGAACCCATCTATTCTTCACCAAACCAACTAACCGATCAAAAGGCCACGTATTGAGGGCGCCGGTCTGGTTCAGTCGGGACCCGGCCCGGACCCGGACCCCGCCTGAGGCAGGCCACGTCCCCGGTGGCCGCCGCGAGGTGGGCCACGGTGCGCCCGTCTCCGTCGCCCTGGCACAAGGTCTCGCAGAGGCCGCAGTCGTTGACCTAATCGCGGTTACGAGCGGCCTCCCTTGGAACGAGCGGGTCGGCTTCGTAGCGTTCTGAAAATTCCCAGCCACAACTTATGATAAGATGCACGCCAACAATTTATCCACACCGCAGACTGCACTGACAGACAACATGCGTGTAGCAAGGTGCCTTCAATGCGGAGTGGTTTTTAAACATATCAAAAGAGACATGTTGAGCGTATGTGGCCGGCTGGATGTCCAAAATAATGGCAACACCATACCATGGTGCCGGTGGCAAATCCTTCCAGAAAACGTCCCAATGAATGAGAAGAGATCAGTCTGCAAAAGGAGCACTCGTTTGGAAATATTGGCGATCACTTCATGGCAAAGTCTGTTGGGGGCGAAAACCATGGACCAATGGAGCCTGTCACCGTATCTCAACCAGCCGTAGGGCTCATACTGCAGGGCTCCAAAGCAACAAACCAACAAGCAAAAAACGCAAAGCATACAGAAATCCGGGGAAAGCCCCCGACTGGCGCACTTCACCGCATCCGTCTGCAAGCAAGGAAACGCATTCAGAAGCTCACCCATCTCTCCGCCCGAGAGAAGCAGCTCCGCCGGGCGAATGCGTCGACGAGTCGACGGATCGACGGTTCCGGGCGCCGGGCTAAGACGCCGAGGAAGCGCCAGTAGCCCTTGGCGGTGGCCAAGTGCATGGCCAAGTTGCCGAGGTAGTCTCGCACGCACCTGGCTCGTTTTCGGCCAGCGGATTGTTTTTGCTTGGCCTGTGGTCGAACAAGGATGTGGGTGGATGAATTCAAGGATTTCTTCCCAAAGGTGTGAACAAGTGAGGGATTGATCTCAAGGGACTATGGAATCTAGAATTGGCTTCAGCGGTCCGATCGTGAATGCAGATCCTCAAGGACAAGCAATGAACCATGAAGCGCCATAACGTACCTGTTCAAGGCGGCCAAGGGGTCATCCCAGCATATACTTACATGCTTTGAAAAGATGTCGTCTCGCAACTGTCTCGCATTTTCATTCGGGAGGAGGGTGTATCGTGTGCGACAAAGATGAAAGACAGATGATGATCAAATAAAGAGAAACAAATCAAAAGGCTGACGATTGGAATGTGAGTTCCCTCCCAGCCGTAATAGCTAACAGGAAGGCGTGGGAAGACTCCCCGCGCTTCTTGGGTCACCTCCCTGTCCACATCCGTGACTAGGAGGGTAGCTCAGGGGATCCTAGTACCTGGAACGTTGGGGTTTGGATCCTTTCCAAAGTTTCTGGGCGCCGAATGGGGGGGGGGGACCCCTTGTTATAAGAGGGGTCAGTTCTACATGCTGCGGGCTAGGATGATACAAGCGATAGACTGTGTAATGCACAATGGACCCCAACTCCAAGTCTGCCACCCCCTTTCCTAGGCACCAGTTTGCTTCAGGAGAAACAACGGAGACGGCCTTGCCATACTTCACGGGAGTAGCATGCTTTTTTGACAGTTTGGAAGTGTAGATGAGTAAAATCTGGCAGCGAAGCAATGAAGCGATTCAGAGCGTGAGCTTGAAGGATGATCCAAAACCTCAAACTCTGCTCTGCTACGCAATTCGAAAACCGGCAGAGCGTGGTTGACCATCAGCCCCCACCGAGAGACCCGACCTGTTGAGTTTGGGAACCAAACTGGAGCCCTGGATTTCACTGGTTTCACTTTGGTCTGCTTGTCATTCACCGAAGGATACTTGGGTCTTGACCCCAACACCTTCAAACAACGAAACCTTCCTAAAAGTACATGACTGACACAAAGAAAACGCTGGAATGGCACAGCGTGGCACAAAACCACCTGCGAGATCCCTTGAGGGCTCGGACCCCCCGACAATTAAACAAATCAAAACTGCAGAAAGCAAAGTCCACAGCTTGTGAAGATGTATGTTGACCCCCCCTTTTGCCCACTGAACTACATGACCAGTTCCCCAACAAGAAACAAAAGACATCGGCTCCCCACTCCATCGAGGAGCAGCTCGCTGGGGGCCAAGGAGGCCAAGTCCACCAACGCCCGCAGCGTGCCGCTGTCCCCCTGCCGCGCCGCATAGTGCACCGCCGTGCGGCCTGCGAACAGCGAAAAACGCGACGCGGGCGTCGGGGGAAGTTGGAAACCAAACAGAGTCGTGAGCAGAAGAAACATAATATGTGTAGGCAAGGTTTGCCCCGTCTTTGCCCAATGTATTACACGTTGGGGGTGACAAAAGGCAATCCAACGCATTCTGAAACCCCATATTCCTTCGCTAAAACAATCGCTTTGTGCTCTCTGCCGGGGAGGTTGGTTCCTCCGGGGGGAGTTTTTGCGGGGGGAGCGGCTTTGCGGCTTGGAACCAGATTTAGGACTGTTTAAAGGGCTCGGGTGCACTGCGGAGCGCACCTTTTCCTTGAGCCAAAATACAAGTAGCGTATTGGGTCTTTATACCTATACATCTCATCACTCCTCCTTGCTGGAAGAGCGGCTCTGTACACGCTCGCACAGCAATCCGGTAGCGGAGTCTGGCCAGGGACCTTAGCTCCCCAAGAGCTTGAGTTGTCCCTTACTGCGCTGATCCAGGAAAACATAACCACACCTCTTCATGGTTTCTGTCATCTGTACACCTGGTATGCTCTTTGTTAGAGCATCGGCTCTGTTGGCCTTTCCAGGGACATGCTCTACCCTAAGGTGGTCCATGCTCGCCCGCTCCTGCAACCACAAAAATCTGGTCTGGATGTGGCGGGCCTTTCCTAGGCCTGCTCGATGCACTGTACCCTTTGCTGCAGTTGCATCTGATTGGATAAGCACCTGGGTCTCCACCGCAAAGTCCTCCAAGAGCGACTGAAGGCCAAGACCCACTGAACCTCCTTTGACCAAGGCGTAGTACTCCGACTCGCCGGTCGAAAGAGCAATAGTTGACTGCACATTGCTGCTGTGCTTCAGCACATGTAATTTATACAGCGCAACCATCCCCGTAGTGGATCTCCTCGTCATAGCATCTCCTGCATGATCAGAGTCCACTTGAATCCGGAGTTTGTTCGGCCTTGCCTGCCTGGCAAACACCTGACACACGTCCGGTTTCCGGATGAGGTAGCGACACAGTCGCTTCAGATCCTGCAAAGATGCCTCTGTCGGCGAGACCATCTTCCTTGCAAGATTCTTCACCGCGTGACTAATGTCCAACCTGTCCTGAGACAAGTATGCGGCCCTCATCACGCAAGATCGATACAGCGAAGCCTGGTCTTTCGGTAAAGCTGGGCTTCTGGCTTCCTGCATCTGCAACTCTACGGACTTCTGCACGTCCGGTGTCTCTGCTCCTTTGGCATTCTGCATGCCAAGCTGCTGCACAAGTAGATCAACATGTCGTCGATCTGGCTCAATCAAGATCGTGCTTGCACCTTGATGTTGTTCACAACGAATGAGTCTGTTGAGAAAGTGAACCTCCTTGCTATCACCTTCCTCGTCTCCAATCGTTCCGAGCCATTTCAGCTCGTAAGCGCTGCGAAGCAATGCGTCTACCTCCTTCAACGCGTCTGCATCTCCCAACGCCATGAAATCGTCTCCATGCACAAGCACTCTCACTTCCAGTGTTGGGTGGTAGAATACTGAACCATTCGACTATCCCCTGATGTATCCCGCCTTGACTAACAGCTGCGTGTAATGCTGCTGCCATATGTTCGGGGCATCCTGGGTTCCATACATTGACTTGGTTAGTCGACCTACCATTCCTGGAGTTGCGTCCTCCTCTGGCAACTCTATGTGTATGCGCCTCTTTGGCACACCATAAAAGTGGGCTCTTGAGATATCCCATAGTCCGATCTTAAGAGACCGTCCTCGCTGCGATACCCGCTCTGTGGCCCAAAGGCTGCACAAGAGCCTTCGCCTCCAAAGGCGGCGTTGACGAGAACCGCATGTTGTGAGGGATTCTCTCCTCCGGTCTCTTCTGGGCCTTAATTTCCCGGACCACCAATCTCGACCGAAAGTTCGGGTTAGTGGGATCTCCTTTGCTTGTGTCTACCCAACGGGTAGTGATTGGACCTCTCCCGTTGGTATCTCGAAGACACTCCTCGAGTGGCACCTTCTCATAGACCTCTTGCTTCCGAAGGTATGCCAACTCCAGTTGGCGTGCTTCTCTGACACGATCTGGGGCCAGGAATCCACCATTCACATCGTCCCAGTACTGCTCCACGTCCTCCGGCGTCACGAAGCATTCCTCAGGAACTGGACCTGCAACAGCTGCGTCCAGTGCACTCAATTGTCCGTTCTCCACCAGGTAGTCCCTCAAGGCTCTCAGCACCACCAGTGCCGGCGGATATCTCGCTGCTGGCCTCGCGAGTCCTCCGATTAGGTGGACATGCCTATGCCAAGGCTTCCCTTCGGTCTTGTTACTGCATTCTCCTCGCAACAGTTCTGCCAGTCCTGGATGATTGGTCATCCAGCCTGTTTCTTTGCGCACATATCCTGTGCCTTGCAAACCCCGTCGGTCCGTAGCGACCATAGCCCATCTACACATTGGGCCTCGGACTGTATACACGTCCGGTCGTTCAGAGAGGTCTCGGACCTCCGGGTCCTTCCATGACGTGGCACTCCACGGTGCCTCATGCAGAAAGAATCTGCCAGCCTCAACCTGCTTCCTGTAGAAGCTACAGGCAGTATGCAAGTGTGCTACAGCTTTGTCCATCTTCTCTCTTCTCTTGTCCGCACTTACCCTATATTTGTTGATATTCTGCAGTTGAGAAAACTGATCACAGGGCGGACTCCCTGTGAGCAATGCTGGCTCGACCTCGTCTACGTACTTGTCGAGCTCTCGGACGTCTTCTTCCCTACTGAGGTCCCAGTAGGTTCCGTCCGGTTTCTGCTCTTCCAGGTCCACTGCGAAACCTGGCCTCAAACCATAGTGCTCTGCTTGGGCTGTGAACCTCTTTGGGCTGTAGATCTCCATGATGTCTACTGCTCCCATCTCCACGCAAAGCTTGGTGATCTGCTCCAAGTCCACTGCATTGACCTCCACCTCCTGGGCTGCGAAAGCTCTCTCAACCTTTCTTCCAACCATTGACCGCAACACCCACGTCTGGGGGCTTGTCCGGAGCGTTTGAAACATCGGCAGCAACTGCCGCTTCGGTCTCGGTCCTAAGCTCTTCCAACTGTACTTCCGGCTCCCGCTTCTCGCCCTGCTTCGGCTGCATCTTCAGCTTGGGTCCCGGCGCGATGTGGAGCGCGCCTGGCCTCTTGACCTGTGTGGTCGGCTTAGCTTTGCTCTTCGGGCTGCTGGATGCTGAAGGTTCTGCTGCAGCTCTCTTTAGCTCTGCTCTTCTCACTGGGTCTTCTTCATACTCCATCACCTGTCCAGGAACATGACCTGCTCCTGTCCCGGCCCCAACGGCCGGCTCTCCCATAGCCTCCTGGGCTGGGAGATCTTTTTCTACTTCTGTCTCCTTCGTGGATTCTTCACGTTTCCTCTTGTGTTCTTCTACTCGCTCGTCGTCCATCATGAGCCCAACGATTCGGGCTCTGCACGCCTCCGTGTGTGGAAGCTGCGTGGATTTTCCCAGCAACACACAAGTGCATCCTGGGCATCCATCTGTGCGTTTGTACTTGTCCACGTCGACCTTCCGGATGTAGATCCGTCGCTGCTGTGGCGGTGCCATGACTGGCACGATCTGAGGTAGTACCTCAACCCGGTCCTCACTGACCAGCAGATCTTCTACTCCTTGGGCTGGAGTCCCAGGCGCTCTTGGGGCTCTCACCGAAACCTCCCAGGGGTAGCCCCTCAGGCTCTCCCATCCCTGAGGGTTCCACTGCTCATCCTCCGGAAGACGACGAACTCCTGTACCTCGCTTCACTCCTTCTAGTGTCACAACCAGCAAAGTGCCGGTCCTTCCATGGTGACCTATATACCGGCCTTCCTCCAACGGCCTAGCGCCCTCACCTACCTCACGATAGTAGAGGCGCTCTCCAATGGCTATAGCGGGCTTTTCTCCATTGCTTGCCGCTACGCCTCTGCTCTGGCGTCTTCCCATCGACACCTCTCTTGTACCTGCAAATCAGGTCTGCAGAGTGTCTTGGGAACCAAGACAGCACCGGGTCATCTTCCTTGAGAATTCGACCCAACTTCTCCTCAAGTGAGGATCGCAGGACTCGTACCTGCCTCTTGATTTCTCGGCACAAATTCTCGATTGCGCCATTCGCCCGGTGGTCAGCCACCGGCGACTCCTGTGGAACATTCTCCACACCTGCTTCCTTGGCCGCCTGCTCCTTCAGGGCAACGATCGAATGCTCACCATCACTCTTGAAGACTGCACGACGGTAACCAAGATGCTTTATAAAGTTCGCCATGAATTTGACCGCATGTGGCGTCGGTCCTTTGCGTCCACGAATGTAGCCGCAACGGCCAGTGTCCGACTGTCTCGGATCACCAGGATAGGCTTAGTCTTCCCATCCTCCTTTCCATCTCGCGTCATCCATGTATAGTCGCACGAGATCGTCGCGAGCTCATCGCTCGCCTTGTCTTCTTCGGGTCGTGAGCGATGCTGCTGACCCAATCCTCTGCCGGCAAGACAATGCCGACACCAGTTGCGATACTGCACGTGACCTGTTGCCTCATGCTCCGCAACCTCGGCCCTCGAAGGGCCCTCTGGCGCTCTCACAAGCGCTGGCGGCGCAATCTCACCGCTCTCATCCATCTCATCTCCCTCGGGCACATCTGCGGGTCGGCCCGCTGGTGCCTCCGGGTCCTCACCTTGTCCGGCACCTGCGGCATCATCTGCCGCTGCAATTGTCTTGGCCGGACTTACGTCTCCTTGGACTGCCGTCCAAAACCCGAATTCGACTCCAAATAGAAGTTGTACACTCCTTTCTCTTGATACACGGGCAACCACGTCTTCTCTTGGGCTTTACTGGGCTTACTGAGCAAATTTTGAACCTTCTTGCCTACCGCTGAGTCTGCTGGAATCAACTTTCCACCATGTTGGTCAAGAACAGCAATCCTTCCATGCTTAAGGCATTTGTACGCCGATACCAACGGTTTGTGAACCGGTGCCAACGGGCCTGTTACAGTGCATTTGGAACCTGCTTCACTGCGACCTGCAAAGGTCCCAGTTCCGGTCCCAGGGACCAGTTCCCCTGACGCTGTTTTGAACATCATTTGGGTTCCCTCTTTGGTGGGGATGTGTCCCTTCCATTCTACTGGAATTGCAGTCTGGGCTGCCCCCGTATCCAGGTTGAACCTAACCCACTTGGACTCTTTTGGGGGTTCTTCCTGGGTGAAAGCACCCAGCTCAAACATGCCCATTTCGGCCTCCGGCTGATCTTCTTGGTCTTCATCGGCTTCGTGGATGGCGTCCTCAAATCCGGCTACATGCTTGTGCTTGGAACCTGACTTGCCTCCAGCTTTGGAACCTTTTCCTCCATCTTTCTTCTTACTCCAACACTCGGCCGCCTTGTGGCCGGTCTTTCCACAGTTGAAGCAAGCACCGGTAATTCCTGACTTACCGGATCCACTGCCTTTTCCTTTGCCTTTGCTGTCTTTACCTTTCCCCTTGCCTTTGTTACCACCTTTATCTTTTCCCTTGCCTTTACCGCCTTTCGAGCCTCCTTTGACCAGAGAGTTGAGGACCTTCGAGAGGGCGTCGACGTCCATAGGAGCTGGGCCCTGTCCGGAACTCGATGCCGGGCCGGACCCGGGTCTGTGGATTTTGCCCTTGGCTCCAACAACCGTTTCGATGAGCACCTCTATTTCTTGCCTCATATCTTGGTAAGTGGTCAGTCTGCTTTTGTTCAGGATCAGGTGCTCTATGTCTGTTGGAACGAGCAACTCCAAGGAAGTGCACTTGATGTCCTCCGAGAGGGTCTCCCGGTTCCCTTGCTCGTTTCTTCTGGTTTCATACCTACGCATGAGGTCGTCCAACTGCTCTATGGCTGGTCTCACCGAATCCCATGTCTTAACACGCTCGGGGTTTAGTATGGCCCGCAAGATGTTCCTCTTACAACCTGCTGTAAGGGGATCCCATCTCCTGTTCAATCTTCGCCATGCTTCAAACCCGTTCTTAGTGTCGATGACCAAGTCCTCGGATTCGTGAGTGGTGAGGGACGACAGCAAGCGGAACAACTGGTCTCCCTTGTCGTCTAGTCCGGCATGCCTAGCTCACCTCCATGCTCTGCCTCTACCTTTTCTACCGTCACTTCCTCATCCTGATCCACAACCCATTCAAGGATCTGTTGAAAACTGGACCCAAAGATTGCGGTTGTCAAGTTGACCACTGACCGTGCCCATCTCCTGAAACTGGCATCTTCATTTGGGAAAACCTCAGGTCTGCCAATGCCTTTGGTATCTATCAGGAGCTTACGGTCTCCTCTTTGCAAGTTATTGGCCAGTCTTCCTACATTTTCAGCCAGTGCAACCATGCTAGCCTGGCCCTGTCTGAGAACCTGATTCTCTTGCGCCAACCTCTCTACTGCTGCCTGCAACTCTCTGATTTGTTCCTCCATTCCCAATGTCCAGTGCCACGCACCGGGAGGTTAGTCCGACTTGGACTCCTCTTCGTACGAGTAGTACGTGTAGGATCCCGAGTCAGGCTCAGCCTGATCGTGAAAATGTATGCTGGCTCACTCAGAGTTGGAGATGGCGGTGATGGTGGTGGCTTCTTCGGTGGATGCTTCGGCTTCGGGATCAACACCAGGGCTGGACCACCTTTGGCACCGACGGGGCCTCCTTCAAGATCACTCGGGTCTCCTCCTTGGGCTCGTTCTTCGCCTTCTTCTTCTTCTGCGGCTCCTCCTTCTCTTTCTTCGGCAGCTCCTCCTTAGGCTTACCTGCCTTTGGCTTGGAGTGCTCCTCCGGCTGTACCGCCGGTACTTTGGCCTTCGGCGGCGGGCTCTTCCAAATCTCCGGGAGCTTTGGCGAGGGTCCCAATACCGAGTCCCCTACTCCCGCAAACAGAGCAGCCGCCCGGGCCAGGATAGCTGGCCGCGCCGAGGTGTTCCGCTCGTCGCACGAGCTGCACGGCACACTCAAGCCGTCGAGACCCAGCACCGCTTTGGCGATCGGTACTTCAACCGACCCCTTTGCCTTCGTCAAGAAAAGGGTCTCCGAGACAGCCGCCCTCCGCAGTCGATAGTTGCTCGCGAGGGCAGTCTCAGGTGTCGCCGCACCACGCTTCACTCGGGCCACAGCCAATTCTTGGACCCGCCGATGGACCGTGATCTTCCGTCCAAGGGCCTTTGCTGCTCTCTCTACCTCAGAGAGAACCTCGGCTGGACCAGCCGGTGCAGACTTTCGTCCGAGTCCAAGGTCTTGAGGTGGACTCGGCGCCGCAGCCTTAGGTGGCGTAACAGGGGCTTTCGGTGGGGTCTTTGGCACAGCTGAGCTTGCCTCAGCCTGGCGCTGCCTCTTCCAGGGCCTCTCTCCTGGGGGATGCGCCCTTCCTCCTGTTGAGCTGCTGAACCTCAATCTCAACCTCTCTGGGCACCTTCTCCCCTTTCTTATTCGCAAGCTTGATGAGGCCTGAGCCTCCTGCGACCGCCGATTGTCTTTCCACCCCTTCTGGGTCCTGGTGAAAAGCTCCTTGCGCTGGGACCTCTGCGGCGGCGGGTAGTTTGGCTCCCGAGGCACGACCCTGCGCGCCGACTGCCAGGGCCCCCAGTCGCTCTCCTCAGCCGACTCAGCCCGGAGGTCCTGCTTCTTGTCCTCAGCAGTATATACGACCTCCCTTTCCGGACTTACGTCCGGCCCCCGGCTACTCGCCGGTTGAGCCTCCTCTTCTGGGCTCCAATCGGCCCGATCTCGGGCTCCTCCTCCGGCAGGGAAGGCTCTGGTTCTTCTGGTTTGTTTTGCTCCTCTGGCTCCTCTGGCTTATCTGGCTCCTCTGGCTCCTCTGGCTCAGGGGCCGCGGGCTCAGCGCCCGCTCTAGCGGCTTTTCCTTTGCCGCTCCTGGACCTCCTCCACGGAGGCTCCGGTGGGCCTTTCCTGCCCTTCTTGCCCTGCTTGCCCTTGTCCTTGCCCTTGTTCTTGCCCGTGCCCTTGTCCCCGATCTTTCCGGTCCAGATGGACCGCCGACCTGCTCGCTCAGGTAGATCAGGCTCACTCGCTACCATGAAAACTCGATTACTTAGGCTCGGGTGCACTGCGGAGCGCACCTTTTCCTTGAGCCAAAATACAAGTAGCGTATTGGGTCTTTATACCTATACATCTCTCGTCTATCCAATCGAAGCGAACCGATCAATCAAGCGATCCAGAAATCTAGGAGTCTATGAATCAACAAACAACCAACCGACCGACCGACCGACCGACCGACCGACCGACCGACCAACCAACCAACCAACCAACAACCCAACCAACCAACAACCAGCCAGCCAGCCAGCCAGCCAGCCAGCCAGCCAGCCAGCCAGCCAGCTAGCCACCCAGCCAGCCACCCAGCCAGCCAGCATACCAAACCAATCAATCCAATCCTATCCCATCGTAATTCCGATCCAATGCAAGCCAATCAATTCCAATCCAATCCAATCCAATCCAATCCAACCATCCATCCATCCATCAATACATACATACATCCATCAACCAATGATACAAAACAAATCAAATAACAAAAAAGAGCAATGAATCAATCAACCAACCAACCCACCCACCCACCCACCAACCAACCAACAAATCAAATCAAATCAAATCAAATCAAATCAAATCCAATCAATCAATCAATCAATCAATCAATCCAATCAAATCAAATCAAATCAAATCAAATCAAATCAATCAATCAATCAATCAATCAATCAATCAATCAATCAACCAATCAATCAATCAATCAATCAATCAATCACCCAATCAAATCAAATCAATCAATCATTCAATCAATCAAATAAATCAACCAACCAACCAACCAATCAACCAACCAACCAACCAACCAATCAATCAGTCAATCAATCCATCAAGTAATCAACCAACCAACCAACCAACCAACCAATCAAATCACATCAATTCATATCCAATCAGTCAACCACTCAATCAATCAAACAATCAACCAACCAACCAATTAATCATTCAATCAATCAAATCAGTCAATCAGTCAATCAGTCAATCCATCAATCAATAAATCAATCAATCAATCAATCAATCAATCAATCAATCAATCAATCAATCAATCAATCAATCAAATCAAATCAAATCAAATCAAATCAAATCAAATCAATCAAACAATCAATGAACCAATCAATCTCTGTCACTCAATCTGTCACTCAATCTGTCAATTCAAATATCTAGTCTCCTCCCACTGTAAACCGGATTGAAATCATATTAAACACTATCTTATCATATTCACTCGAAGGATCTGACCTTTTGCCTGAGACACATAGGTTTGTCTCATCATGTGGAACCATTTCTTTTGTGAAGTCCCAGTTGGGTTCGATGAATCAACCCATCTCCCTGTGCAAATATCACACTGGTTTCGTACCAACATAGAGTCCGCATTATGAGCTTCAACCTCCCGTGCACTCAAACGGACCCTGGCAAAGGCCCTCCAAAGGGATCTTCCTTCACGTGTGTAAATCGGTCGGAAGGCTTGTTTGGAATTTGTCGTCTAGTCGGAACCAGCCAAAGGTTGAAACTGCCACCTTAGGTCATGCTACCTGAATGGGAGACCCGAAGGCTTCGTAAGGCCAAATGCGACTCTAGAAGGTTTATAAAGGCTTTGGGGTGAAAACGGTTTCCGCATGGGTATGTATATTGTTTGCATGGTACCCCCTTTTGTGCTTGCTTCAACGGGAAACCCAAAGGAGCACCATAATTTTGTGACTCCTGCTCGGCCAAATCCCCCCATGCCCAGGCCCGCCTTTGTGATCCTGCTTCAAGAGCAGCGAGCGGGGCAGTTTCTGCTCGCCATACTCGGAACGGCGAGTTGTTCGGGGGTCGCTGCTTGGAATCCGTCCCAATTGGCGGCGTGGTGGGTGTCCTTTCTTTGTTTGTGAGGGGAACACCCTGCTTTGGGTGGGGTTTTAAGGGAGAACAGGACAACCATTGGTTGGTTCCCTGAGTTTGCTAAAATGGCCTGCCCTTGGATTGACCCAAAGCGAAGCGGCAACAAGCAACGACTTCTGCAATAGCCCAGCTCATTGCAACCCAAGTTGGAAGGATACACATATCAGACAAGATCTGAGAAACTGTTTCATTTCATGTCCTTTCCCAGCATGAAGATCAAGTAAGAGATGCTCGTTCACCCACCTCAACATTCAAGTAGTAGCAACAGGCTAACGTCGGCAAAATCCCTCGCACACTGGACAAGGTGACTGGCAAAGTGTTTCTGGCTGCTAAGCGTCGTATTCTTGCGGAATCGTTCCCAACTTAGGATCAAGCAACGCCCCAGGAATAGCAAATCAGCGGCCTCAAATTCAGCCACTCTTTGGCCTCGTTCACAAGTAGCAAGGACCCCAACGAATTGGGCTCTGTTGCTGTCCAATCAAGCACATCAAAACACGACTGCCCTTGATAAGTTCGTTTGCCCAGAAAAATATGTGAGGATATCCCTCATCGGTGCTACGCAAGCTGCGCTGTTCAAGATTCCGAATCCACAATCCCCCCTGGAAGCCCCTCAGGGAACTATATGACCTGTTGCAGCCAAAGGAAAGGATAAAGGATGACCTTGAAAGAGCTCAGCTTGGTCAACAAATTGTGGTCCCCTAAAAAAGGATGGGAGGTCCTTTTTGGTCTCCCATTGAACACGCTGCGAGGGTTCAACATGTATGCCCCCTACCTTCGAGGGAAAGCAGTGGGGGGGGGAGGTCCCAACACCATTTGTCTCATCTCCCCTACAAAATGGACAATTGATTTATGGCTGGAATTGGGTCACGCAAATCCATTTTTGGGCTCGGGGTCCATTAGTTTGAGACAAGCCCCACACATCTTTCAGCTCAGCGGCCATCATGGCTAAGCACTCCTTGGCAACTGAGAAGTCCAAACGAGCCACATGTCGCCGACTTCTCGAAGATAGTTGGGTTGGGTGGGTGGTTGGGGTGTGGGTTGGAGGTTTAGGGCGGTCGTGTCAATTGAACAGCACCAGTGTTGTCTAGCACGGCCCATGCTCTGGTAGGTTGCTTGGGCCAGGCTTCCACTGAACAACTGGGTTTCTTCTGCTTGGTGCCGCATGCGTTTTCACGCTATGCGAAGCAAACCGGTGGAGCTTCGCAAGTGAGCCTTGCGGAAATCCTGTCCGCTTCTGGGTATCCCCGGAAACGCAGTTGGTCGACCACACCGCCCAGCTTGCCGAACTGGGCAAGCGAAACCATGTAGAATCATATGTTCAACAAGGATTCCTGCTAGACAAAACGTGGCCTTAAGGCATATTATGTGTTGGATCAGGTGCATCTGGGGTTGGGTTTGAACAAATTGTTCTTTCATTGATTTTATCTGTGAGCATGTTCAACGGATCCCTGATGGCTGATGAGTGTGCCCAACAGAGTTCCCGCAAACTGTTTGCACCAACTCTTGGCGCGCCCCGGCAACCCTAGCTGAGGTTGAAAAAGACTAGCACTTGCTTGTCAAGCCAAACTTCAGCCAAAACCAGACACATCCGCCAATCACGACCGACAAAAATGCTCTCCTCACGTATCATCCCCAACCAGACACATCCGAATGACCAGACCAAACATGTACTCTCCTCGCATATCAAAATCCCCGACTCTTCCCCTTCCCCTGCTGCCGCGGTGCCATGTGCCCCCACGCCACCGCGTGGTGCGCCACTGACCTGCCCTCCGCATCAAGGCCACGCAGCGCCTGCGGTTGAAGCCCCTTTTCGAGGAACGAAAAAGGCACTGCCATATGGGTGTGGGTCAAAAAAAAGTTACCCAAAATAGAGTCCTGGCAGATGGAAAATAGACTAAACCCTGCGGTTTTCTGGTGGTTTAAGTTTGACCCATACCCATATGGGTGTGTTCAAGAATAATTGGATCCCCATTTGGTTGGTGCTTCAAGGGAAACCAAGAGACCCCCTGTAAGGTCCATGTTCGGGAACTCACCCAATGCGAACAGGCTCTCTCTGTAGCACGCTTTGAGGCTTGCCGGCGCGGGCTCCCACGGCCATTTCATGAGTCTTATCTACGGGTGTGCTGGCGCCACCCTGTGATCATTTTGTGCAAGAGCATTTAAGCATGTTTAAGAGGGCTGTGCATTCTGGCTTGTATTTGAGGGTTTTGTATTTAAGGTCGGTTGAGGGGTTTTGAGGACATTTATGGCCATTTAAGGGCATTTGAGCGTATTCCGGGGGGTGCCAAAAGCGCGCATCGAAAGTGGCCTTGAAGGCTCTTTAAACACAACTTCATGGCAGTTGAAGGGCATTGCACAAAACTATGCTTGAAAAGTATATCTAAGAACTTGACCTTTGAATACCATTTAGCTTTAAAGCTCCGCTATTTTGCTGCAATGATTCCCCATCAGGTGACACCTGCCAACCCCTTAAATAACCGCTCCGACTGTTTGCAACTAGCAGGCTTCGGGCAGCATCTGCGTGCCCGAATTGACCATCGGGATGCCGGCGACTCTACGCGCCTACGCACCAAGGAAATGTAAGCCCCCTATGTTGAATATGTGTTCGAGGCCACGGCTGGCGGGTTTGCTGCGGTCGTCAATGCTTACAGTGAAGTTGCCACACGAACCATTGTTGCATTGACCAATTGACCATACTGGCAAAAACTCCAGACTGAACAGAGCCTACCTGATTCATTCGCCAGGAATTGTCAGCTGCCTGTCGATTCCCCCAGGCACTGGAATTTCAAATCGACACATGCTATCCTGGTTGCCAAAAGATAAAGTGGCACACAGAAGTGGCCCTTCCTAAAACCGCAATGCTCGCGACGGCACCTCTCCTCGAAGATCGGCTCTTACAAAAAGTGGCCTCCCTTTCCCAAAACGGCCTGGACAGCTGACCTTCTGGAGCCTAGGGCTCCAAAGACCCCGGAGAGATCAGGGCAGGAAACCACACAGATCCTGGCTTGCCCTCAGATCCCCTAAAAGAAAATAACTTTCAATGGGTGAAATGAGAACTACCGTACTAAGCCACCTAAACACCAACTAACCAAAGCTAAGGAACCGGATGGGGCGCCAAAATGGCTGTGGGTCAACAATGGGTACCCACACTAGAAGCCTGGTAAATGGAACCAAGGACCAAGATCTGCGGCCCATATCCTGGTGTTTAATTTTGACCCACACCCATATGGGTTTGTTCAAGAATAATTGGATCCCCATTTGGTTGGTGCTTCAAGGGAAACCAAGAGACCCCTCATAGGGCTCCATTTTTGGGAACTCACCCAATGGGAACCGGATGGGGCCCAAGAGAAACCTTTCAGCCGGCGGCGGATTTTTCTTCGCTGCCTTAGGGTCCAGCGCCCAGTCCACCCCGGTAGCCAACCTCAATCGGGGCGAGAGAGAGAGAGAGGCGATTTCAACCTATAAAAAGACCTTCAAAGGTTGCGTGCGGTTTTGTCCTTCCTAGGTTTTCTCAAACATATTGTTTTATGCAACCTGGTGCAAAATAAGAAACAGATCTCCAAGTCCAACTGGTTGCCTGGTTGTTGGTGTAATCATGGGGTGCTGCCACTCCTCAAAGTCTGACCTTCACCTGTTCAACACCTAGAATCCATGGGAAGCACTTGATAGCGACTTGCGCCCCGCAGGCGGACTTTCAGACCTTCACAAGTTGCATTGCTTGGGGGTCGCCGTATAAGCGCGGTCTGCCACTAGGTGAATGATCTTCTACCACCGCTGCTGAGCCGCATTCGTCTGTTGGGCAAATATGGTGGGTAGCCTCCGCAAGCGTCTGCCTTCGCAAATAATCACATATATACCCCGCAAGGAATTTGGAGCGCATGTGAAGCTTCACCTTACCAAGCCAAGGTGTCTAAGACCAAGTACCTGAAAGATCTGAAAGTTGGTCATTGAGTCATGTCTGGAGCCTACATGCACCTCCGGAAGAAATCAATATCGTCCGACCGTTGGTGTGTTTGCTCAACGTATCGCTTGCCTTGGCTCGAGCTCCTCTTGGAGGGTTTGATCAGCGTGTGACAAACCAAAGCGACAAGTTCTCCCTTCGAGCGCAAAGGCGCGGGGCACTCTGCGTGTTGCTTCTCAAAGGGCCCTGGAGCAACGCAGGGCTCTGAAAACCCTTCAGCTCTCAGAGCTGAGAAGCCTGGTTTCCCAGGCACGAACACGAACTCCCCTGTTTGAATGTTCAGTTTTAGAGCAAACCTGCAAACAAAGGTGTGAGCAACCATTGGCCTTGGCCTCCTCACTGTAAATCCTTGGTGCAAATTCCGAGCACAAACAAACCCCTGGTCACAACAGGGGAGAAGCTAGGCTAGAAAAGGGAGTCCCAACAACTCGTTCGAAAGGATGACTAGAAAAGGGCCAGAAGTGCATTGTGCTTCAGAATCCAGTTGACAAGAAGACGGCTCAGATTCCTCAACCAGTGGCTAGTTCATTGAGAAAATCGCTTCTTTGCTACAAAGGGCTTCGAAGGCGCACGGTATTGATTCATCTCCTGCTATTGTTTTACAAAGGTTTGAAGATTCACCCCCTCAACTTACAAGAAATCCCAGGTCGGGAGAATGATCATTCGGAAATGGCCCATAGAAAGCGCTGTGAGCGCAGAAAATCCGCAGAAAATGGCACCGCAAAAGTTTGGCTTTGGGCAATCGAGGACTGGCTTCTATCGCTTTGCACCCATGCCCAACCGCACTCTGGGGTTGGGCGTGCCAGGATTGGCCCTCTCTTTGCGCAAGCAGCCCCCTACGCTTTGGGGATGTGCATTTCGTTCAGTCCACCTTCTCCGGTTGTGGCACTCTTTGGATAATTACTCTTTTCATAGCCCAAAACTTCAACAAAAGAGTGCATACGAACAGTACCTCTACCACCTAGAGACATTCGTGGACCCACCGTGCACACAACGTGAAGTGTGAGCCCCTCATCACTACAAGGGGCATGTAGAGCGCGTTGGGGTGAGGCTGGGAGGCTGCCAAATGCACCACCTCAGCTTCTTCATCGCGCGAGCCGTGGCACGTGCCCACTTGGCCAGCACTTTTCGTCCCCCAGTGGTAGCTCATGCAACTAATCCAGCTCAATTACTCCCAAAGCACTACACTTATGTGTGTATGTGTGCTTGTGTGCGTGCGTATCTTTCAAAACTAGGTACCCTTTTTGGCCTACGTTTGCCTGGCTTTGCCTGCCCTTCGGAGAGAGCTGGGGAGGGGAAGGGGTTCAATCAGTTTGCCAATGCAAAAACCAGCACATCACAAGTCTCCTCAGGCACCTCAATTACCCTCATGATTGCTTTAGGCCTGACTGCCATCGAATGGCGCAGCCATCAAAATGGCTTTAAAACATCCAAACAAAACCAAACAAAGCCAAAAAACAAAAAACGCGACAACCCAAACCAAACCAAGCAAAACCAACAAACACAGGAACACAAACAAACTAGCCGAACAAACAAACCAAACAACAAGACACACACGCGCACCGACACAAACAAACAAACAAACAAACAAACAAACAAACAAACTAACAAACTAACAAACAAACAAACAAACAAACAAACACACAAACAAGCCAGCAAGCAAGCAAACAAACAAACAAACAAACAAAACCATTAAAGCAAAGAAGCAAAGAAGTAAGTACAGAAGAAGCAGAGAAGCAACGAAGCAAAGAAAGAAAGAAAGAAAGAAAGAAAGAACAAAAGAAAATAATAAATAAACATCAAAACCAATAAAGAAAGATAGATAGAAATACATAAACACACAAGCAAAACAAGACCAAACCACACCAACAACAAAACCAAACCACACCGACCGACAAACACTGAAACGCACGAACAAGCGAAACAAGCAAAACAAACCAACAAAACATTCAAAAAAACAACCAAACCCCAAACACACAAACACGCACACCGACAAAAACACACCAACAACCCCCCAAAGCAACACACAAACAAGCACACAAAGCAAACAGGAAAAGAAGGTAGTTGTTTCCCGCAAGCGGCGTTTTGCTTGGTGTTCTCGTCCAGCAAGCTGTGAAGATTGTCTTCCTGGATGAGACGCTTCGGGATCTTCAGCGTGCGCAGGTCGAAGTCCCCAATGCTGGTGACTGCCTCGAGCAACGGACCCGGACAAGGCGTATGGAGGTTTTGGGGGGTCACCCTCCCACCAAGAAAACGTGTGGGGTCCTGGAAGACCAGTTTTCTCTGAAGAGTTTCCAGAAGGAAACCGAATGGAAACCACCCATTTGTTCGAAGCTGGCTACATGCCTCATGCAACTACGAAGGTTCCGCAAAAGGACTGGCCGTTTGCCACATCTGTGATACCAGGGAGGCTCCCGTTTGAGGGAAGATTTGTTCATCGGAAAGGCCTTGTGTTGGTATCACAGAAGTGGGCAATTCTTCCATGGTCCAATTTCAATAACCATGAACATGCAATGAATCATCGAAATGCACCACGTGAACGCACCCCAACACACCAGCCACACTGCGCCACACTGCGGGCAACATGCTGCCGATCTCTTAAACAGCCCATGTCGAGACGAGGGGTCGGGCGCCAAGCATGTATATACCCCTGCCGTATCATCCCAGGGTGAGGAGGATGGGCGGAGAGAATGGAAATGTGGCCTGGGCTTGGTTACAAGGAAGCAATTTGGCATGTTTCTACTGGCAGGTTCTCCAAATGGAAAGGCTACATTTCTGCAATGTAACCCCACTCTCCACAGGTTTCACCCATTTTCTACTGCAACTGGGATGGGAGCAAGGTACATTTAACCATCCTCGAAGGCTTTTTCTACAGCCCATCCTCGTGCGTCAGATACCAAACATGCTGGTACCCACACATATAGCCTTGACCCTAAAAAGGGGATTAAATGGCGATCCATCCTCTACTTGGCTGGTCGGTCCGATGAGAAGGCTGCATTTCTCGAATGTAGCTGGTCATTTTCTACAGGGATATGGAAGAGACATTTATAAGTTGCCAACCCAGAAGTGTCTTGTACGTATCCCAGTTCCAAACAAGTTCTAAATAATCACCGGCAAGGCCAGTTGCCTCATACGCAGTTAGTGCATCTGTCGGCTGTCGCCTTGGCCGGTGTTTCATCTGGATTCCTTTCATGCGTTTGATTGGTGCTGCATCATGAACAAATATTCTCAAAGCGCTACCAGGAGAAATGGTCACTTCACGAACATGGCCATGCAAACCATGAACAAACATTGACAAAGCTCGATGAGACACCACGCTCATATATTCCTCAAGCAAAACAGCATGTAACCACTCATGCGCTGCGGACAAAATGGAATTGCATCAACAGCTCACTGCATTTGCGCCTTACAATATGATCATGGTGATTGCCTACCAATCTAATTGACGTTGATGCACCCAGCGTTTTGTTTTGAGCGGGATAGATGGCCATCGGTGCGGCGCGGAATGTTGTTGGCAGCTGCGTTCACATATCGAAGGAAAATGTGGGGAGAAGAACAGGGTGTGATATTGTATTGCGCATGTGCAAGCTTGATTTTGTGGGCTCATGTCTCGTTCAGCACCCAGTACTAATGGTGTTGTATCAATGCACAATATGCGCACCTTGTTTTGGTTCCAAGGCGTTTCGCTTTGACATCCAAATTGCGCACCCACAGCCAGCCAGCCAGCCAGCCAGCCAGCCAGCCAGCCAGCCAAGAAAGCAAGTCAGCTCATCAAGCCGTACAGTAGAGGAAACTATAAAGCACCATTGACACACACACACACACACGCAGCACCACCGACAACAAACCAACATTCAAGCACTACCAAAACAAACACAAAGAGATGACTCAGGCAACGCCAAAACAGGAGGCTTCGGCCCTTGCGACATTTGACCCTGCCTCCACCACTGCGAGACGCACTCTGGGATCGGGGTCCGCCAAGTAGGGCGCCAGGGACCGAGCGTGTTGGCCGACAGCCAGAAATTCTTGAGCGTTGTCCGCCCCTGCGAGTCGACCCCGACCAACGAAGCCAACTGGGTTCGTGGGTTGGGTGAAGGCAGAAAGGGGCTGCAAAGACAGGAAAACGTCAAAAGAACAGAACCAGTAACACTCCAAGTCGAAAGTGCCATTGTTCAAAAGTTCTCAAAATGGACAAAGGGGCACCCTATGATCCTATTGGCAACTCCCTGTGCAAATGAGACCTGAAGTTGGAGGTGTTCTATGTGGCAATTGAAGGCAGCATGTGTGGTGGATCGATGAAAATGGCGAGTGGAGCCAGGGTGTTTGGTCTAATTGATGGGCGGTTTTGGGCAGATGCATGTGTATGTGCGCGTTAGCATAGGAGGCTTTGGTCCAGAACGCCAAGCATCTCTGGGTAAAGGCTTGAAACGGAGTGTGATTTGGCTGGATGTTTGTGATAGATGCGCCAAACACGAAGTCTAACAAATTGTGATTAGCATAGTTGTTGCCAGTTGCTCCTTGAGTCTGTACAATACAATTGCACATCAAACCGATTGAACACCCCTCACAGGTCTCACCAGCTCCGTGGACTTGCCCGGCACAAACTGGATGGATTTCAAAATCCATCCATCGATGCTGACAAAGAAAAAGCATCATAGCTCATTTCACAGGGTGAACCATCACCTGACTGCCTCACCTCACCACGTCACTGTCACCTCCGTCCCAAAGCCCCGGGGCTTCAGTTGGCCCAGAGACACCCAGCCAGCTGGCCCCGAACTGAGTGCGAAATCCGAAAGATGGCCCAGGAGCCGAGGCCCTCGAAACTGGTCACACCGAACGGTCCTTCCCGTCCAAAATTTTAATTTGGGATAAAGGGATGGGACTTGAGGACAGGAATAACTTCTGAATGGCGGAAAATGGATAGATGGGTTTGGACAGCTAGGAATTGCCCATCCGCTTCCAAAAGCGCCAAAGCGCCTGAGCTCTGCAGCTTCTGGTTGTGGTCCACTAGCGCATGCAGCAGCGAGCGCAGCTCCCTCACCACCTATGCGACCGCTGGACGCAGGTTTGGAAGGTGTAGAGGGAGTCTATAAAAGTATGTGTGTAAACGAGCATTGGCATGCCCACATTGCATATTCCTGACCACACAATGAATTACAATCTTCCAAACAACCACATAGCGCTAAATGATGGGAACCAGAAGCAACCCATATGCTAAACGAATCTAAGTTGACGTGCAAGAATGGCTTCTGTGCCAAATTGGGGCTAGTTCACGTGTTAAGGCCCTCTCAAACGAAGTCTCCAAATCAATGCATAGGCATGGACAAGCAGCGAATATGCAACCATGCAACCTCATCACGGCACGCGCATCTGACAACACAATAAGCTGAGGCTGTCGAAATGTTCCATTTGCAACACATCGGCAATTGAAAGACCAGCATGAAAAGGTCACATGCTCTCAGAGGCGAACATCTCAGCCGAAGACCGGCCACTCAAATGCAGCACCCACTTCAAGTGTTTGACAGCAGCTGGCTGGAGCCGGTCACAGCTCCCAAAGAAATTGAGCCCCAGGAGGCAGAATTGCTCTGCCGTGGGATTCGGATCGCTTCACATGGCTTTTGGATAACATATTTGTGCTATGGTCAAGACTTCTGTGTGCCATCGTCATGATTCCTTTAACAGGAACCCTCATGGTTGCTCATGGGCTTCTTTCCCAACAAGCGGCCCATGACCATCCATATCCCCCCCCCCACCCCCACTAAAATAGGTTCTAACATGGGTGGTGCACCTACCGCAAAACGGTACCATTGGTGTCCCACGGCCATTCGGGGCATCCGTCCAGCCGTCTCCTTTCACAGCCGCACCCCTCTCTCCGCTCCTCCAAGCGCAGCTCCGCGTTGTCCGCGTCGGACAGCGCCGAGGTCAGGTCCTGCGCGTTTCCGTTTTTGTTTTTCTCGTTGAGGGGAACTCGTTTCTTGGGAGGCAAATCGAACATGGAAAACACACACACGGAAGTTGTGGCCGTAACTTGATGCAGGATCTAACTTGGTTCCTGCCCGGACTGGGACAACTTGGCATCCTTCAACACCTTCACTTGCCATGTGGGACCATCCTGCAATCACAAACACTGGCAGCAAAGGCGTGAGCAGGCTGCTTTGCCATTTGGCCATGGGTCAAAAGCCCGTATCCCCGGTGAACATCCCAATCCCCACTAAAATAGGTTCTAAAAATGGGTGGTGCACCTACCCCAAAATGGGATGCCATTGGTTTTGACCCACAGCCATTGGGGAACTTAACGCACGCCCGCAGAAGCACACGACTTTGGAGCCCACCGGGAAAAAATCGAAGGTCGCGGGTCCAAGTGTCTGAGATCGACCGCACAGATTGCAGGTGGACACTTCATCCAGACTGCCCGGCCCTAGGGCGCAAAGGTTCTTGCCTTGTCACGGGTCTAAACAGCACCAGAGGGTAAGCGTCAGCTTTTCTGAGATCGAACCCCGAAACACGTGGCGTCTCTGAATTTCAGATGGCCTGGATCTGGACTTGGCGAGTCCTGCTCGCCCAAAGACAATTTGTGGCCGTGAACTGATTTAGGTCCCTCACATTGCAAAGCAATTGAATATGGAGAAAGGCCAAATCCACGCTTTGTTGGGGTATAATATTCTGTGCGTGGGGGTATGCATGTAATAGGGGACCCCCCCAAAAAAAAAGCCACGACGGTGACTTTCCCTTTAATCAACCCCAAACGCGAAACAAACACAATGTGTCTGGTCTGTGTCTTGGGGTAACAAACACCATGTGTCTGGTCTGCGTCTTGGGGTAGAACCATCGACCCATTCGCTCTCGGCCAGTCGAACGATGCCGGCCGATGTTTGGTGGGACCTGACAGCGAGACGTGGTGTGCTGCAGCAAAGCGCGACTGATAGCTTGCCGGTGCACGCCTGGCGCAGGGAGGCTTCTGGTGTCGCAAAGGGGATCGCAAATAGCCAGTTGCGACCATCGCGTCCATCAATCCCTACGTGCAAAACCCACCACCCATGAGTTTCTTTTGGACCACCAAACAGGGGTCCCGAATTGGAAATGCACACCTGACAACACTTTGCTGTTGGCTCAAACATGGGACATGCTATTCGTCTTTGGTGGCTCCCTTTGTGCGACGAGTTAACAAAAACAACACTTTCAAAGGAGGCATTGCACGTTCTCT